AATGAAATACTTAAAATTAGGAAATAGACAAAAAAATAATAATACCTTTTAATTTTTTGTAGAATACCTTTAAAGATTTTTCTTTTATTAAATTTGTAATTTCAATTATTTTTCTTTTCACATATAGTTAATTTTTACAGGGAAATACACACGCATGTTTAAATGTTTCAACCTTGTACTTTGGTCATCATCAGGCAAAATGAAATAATGATAATTTGACGCATTAGAAAATACAAGATTAAAACAATGTTCAAATCGCATGAAGCTAGAAAAACAATAAAATTAAACAACAGTATTATTGACTATTTACAAACACTATCTATGGGGATGAAGAAATAAGATTAAAAACCTTTACTGTTTTGTTTTTATTGTTATTATTATTATTTTTTTATTTTATATAAACATCCTTCTTATAAATGGTTTGTTATAAATTCATTTTTTAGTACAAGTTGCGTCAAAGTTGCGTTATACTTAAAACAGGTCATTTATATATATACGTGTGTATTTCTCTGTAATATAGGTAATTTTTAATGTTTTATTTTCCTTTCTTGTCCTTTACCACTTATTATTCATTTCGACATAAGTCAACAGTGCCCTCGAGGCATATTACAGCGTCTTTTGGAGACGTGCAACCCTTTGGCAAATTTCTCATTCAGCTTGTAATATTGTAAGCCTTAAAAACAGATGCAAGATATGATGTATATTTAAAAAATGTTTAAACCTTCTTATTATGCATTTTAAAACATAACTAATATGTAATTAACTAAAATATAATAGTAAGATCTAAATAAAATATAAACTATAACATGTTTAGGTAAGAAACAACAGTAAGTGTTATAGTCGATTAAACAGCCAACAATACTACAGTCAACTACATGTACTCCGTGATGATAACTGGGTGCCAGTTTCAAAATAACCATTGTTAGATTATAGTGTAAAATGAGCTCTTTCTAATGAGTATACACAATTGTATATAACAGCGACATGTAGGCTGTATAAAGCTCAAACAAATGTGTTGAAGGTGGGTGTGCAGGGGATGAAAAGATTTATTACTTGTTTCAGCTGTATTCATTCAGAGAACTTTGAATTGTGTGAGTCAAAAGGTTATGTAAACATCTTGTTGTCTAGACGTACCTCTACTCAACTACCATTGTATTATTGAAGTTACAGACAGCCAAACTAGAGAATTTTCATAGCTCGTTGGTCACATGACAATACATCTGAAGTTTTAAGTAGTTTTCTAAAGGTTTATTTTGAAATAAAGAACTTAAGAATTATATAAAATATAATATTGAATCATAATATACACTATGAAATTAAGTTCTTTCACATACATTGATAATAAAGGTGTTTAAGTAAATTTTAAATGTAACACAGTGAGTTGTGCAGAACAGCATTTAAAGGAGCACCCGTTGCTTATAAAGTGCACTATGTTCATTGAATGACATGAAAATATATGATAAGCTTTATCTGTATGCCTAGGAAGTGCTGCTTGTTTATTGGCTGACATGAAAATATATGATAAACTTTAGTTGCTTATAAAGTGCATTATGTTCATTAGCTGACATGAAAATATATGATAAACTTTATCTGTATGCCTAGGAAGTGCTGCTTGTTTATTGGCTGACATGAAAATATATGATAAGCTTTATCTGTATGCCTAGGAAGTGCTGCTTGTTTATTGGCTGACATGAAAATATATGATAAACTTTATCTGTATGCCTAGGAAGTGCTGCTTGTTTATTGGCTGACATGAAAATATATGATAAACTTTATCTGTATGCCTAGGAAGTGCTGCTTGTTTATTGGCTGACATGGAAATATATGATAAACTTTATCTGTATGCCTAGGAAGTGCTGCTTGTTTATTGGCTGACATGGAAATATATGATAACCTTTAGGCAAATGTATAAAAAGTTTATTGGTTAATAGAAGCATTAGTAACAATGTGGCAAACTCTGCTAAAGATAGCTACACTGTCAGACTATCAACCACATGCTTATATATCATTGTCATGATTAGTAGTTTATAAAATCACTTAAGTTTAATTATTAATTAGATACTAATTGAATTTTTCTTGCACTAAATACTTATTACTAACTGTTTTATATGCTATGTTTTGGCCACTTCTCAAGAAGGGCTGTTGTTTGTGGAGTGGGTGGGGATTTGTTGTGATCTCGTCTCTTGTGGGGGTCTTCCCTGACCTGTCCTGAATCAATTAAATAAATGTTTTTAAAGGGGTACTTCTGTACTAAGTTCTAGGTGCGTTATCAATTTCTCTTTCTTTTTTTGTGTACGGTTTATATCACATCATATGGTTTTATGAGCTGTTGCAAATAAATCAGTATTAATGAGTCCTGTTTGTTTATTATAATTTTGAACTGTAACTTTTGTTTTTCCATCTGTTGGAATGATGGTTATTGTAAGTGATGCTTGTGTTATCCCTTGAGTCTTTAGGTGGTTTGGTGTGTACTAACTGTGATTGTATTAAGTTGTGGCTTCTGAATATTGTTCTGAATTTATGTTGTTTATGGATCCTGTATATGTTTTTAAAGAGTTCACTGTATCATCTCTATATTCTGCTTTATCAAGTCTTCAGAGTGTCCATTGCATCATCTCTATTACAAATCTTGTTTAATTTGGAATATGTGATGCTTGTTGTTACACTGTTAGGATAGCTTGATTTATAATTGTCATAACTGTACCTTATTTACTTCTATGTTTATATAATAGTTGGAAAATGCTGTTTCTGTATATAATTACAACGTGAGAAGTTTAGGCTTAAGGCTATTGAACATGGCAAGCTGTCTATATAATCCTGTGAGATGTAATAATGAAGTTAGAGTTTTTGTCACCTAATGAATGTCAGTGCACACCGTGTTTATATGGATACATTTTATTCTAAGATAATAAGAGTAGATCTTTTTCTCTAGTATTCCTTGTCGTTCTCATCATATTTTACTGAAGTAGATTATTTCGATAACAGACTCTTTACAGAGATTCTTACTCAAGCCCCCACAGAATGCTGTGAAGTTCAGTTTCATGAAAATGGATCTTGGACACCTGTGTTACCAAAGAAAGAAAGTTTGGTGATTGGAAATCCCGTGGTGAAGAAAACCACACCTCGTCCCTCAAGTGAGTGAACTATTCAGTTTTTATGTAGAAAATTCAACTTTAATGGGCTACACATACCTGTTTTTAAAGCACGATCTGAGGCCTTCATCAGCCTAATGAAGGCCTCATTATAGAAACTGAAATGTTGTTGTACTGTGAAACAGCCCATTAAAGCCAAATCTACACTGCTAAAATACTCTTGAAACAACGCATGGGAAAGAAATTAATGATATCTATGGTATATATAATTAGTTTTTGGGCAACATTGAGCATCTGACTACAAGCATGTTATAGATGAAAATATAAAAGTTGTTTATGTAATCTTACAGCATCCTCACCTGAGAAGAAGAAGCCTAATGTGGAAGTTATAGATTTGACTATTGAAAGTAGTAGTGATGAAGAAGACGACCTTTCTCCTCCATCCTCTCAGTTTACGAGTCCACAGAGTTCGACGGGAGCAGCTGGGCCTGTTGTTTCACTTCCATCTCCTACATCTCCATCATCATCCAACTCCTCTTTTCTAAGCATCATCAGTTCTTCTCTGCTGCCGACAACATCATCCATTCCCACATCCTCAGTAATACAGCAGTATAATAACTCTCTTCTCTCTGTAGCTTCACCTCGAGATTCTTCCTGTTCATCAACGTCATCTTCATCATCTGGTGGATCATCTACTGGGCAAGTTGTAAAGCGTAAATCTTCCACAGAGCTGTCTAGCTGTAACATTTTTGTGTAGTATTTACTTATATTTATATATATATACATTTATAATACTTATACATTGTTTTGACGAATACAGTCCACAAACGCACACGCAGGATCACCATTTGAGATATTGACCAGTGCTCAGGCTTCTGTTTGTTTAAAACTTTGAATTTAGGACTGGAGGTTTCTTTCCGGATATATATGTGACTTGCAACCACATTGATATTGTGGAAATTGATAACTACATTAAGGAATTTGTGGAAACAGCTTAATCGTAATGAGAAATTTCAGTTAAAATTTAAAAAGTTGAAGAGATTGAATTTGGGGCCCACGTTTATCTGTAAAATCCTGTCGCAGTCATTAATGACTAGAATTTTACATTGGAAATCACAAGCAGTTGCAATGTGGATGTTTAAAGTAAAGAAAATATCTTAATGAAGGTAATTCTACAAGAGTGCTTTATCTATCCATTGTGATTTCTTAGTGTTACCAGGAGTAAACAAGTGAATACATGTGCTTACATATGTATTGCATATCAGGCTTTTATTTCTTAGCTTTTTACTTCTATATTTTGGTGTGTTTTACTTCAGGGCAGAAGTTTTTTGGGGGGTGAGGTGGATTCCCCACTTATAAATACAAACTGTAGGGATTCCTTCCCTTCTAGTCATTCTTTACTGTGTATGACACATCTACTGTTTTTTATTTGAAAACTTTTACTAGAGTTCAAACACTCCCACCTTAGGACACTCATCATAACTATGGTATTTAAATACCTTTTAATCCTTAACTTCTTTCATGAGATACCATTGGGGTCACTTGTCAGCCAAAATGGATAAAACTAAGATTCTATGGGTACTTTTTTTTGTCTTCTGAGTTTTCAAAAAGTTGGAATATAATTATTATACATGAAACAAGTTATCAGAAGAATGTGATTTTAACGTGAACATATGAAGAACCATTTCTGCCCTGTCTTACTTATACTCTGTGTAGATTATCATAACTTGGTTATTCACACTGTTTAGTTGATATTTAACAGGTAAAAAAATAGATAAATTTACAGAGTATAGTGGATTAGTATAGGAGCAGAGATTAGGTAGTGAGCACACACAGAAGATCCGTTGAGGTGTAGGCTGGTGCGTGAAAAATAACGTTGTTAAACTGGTGTGCAGAATGCATATATTAATTATGAAAAGCTTTGTCTGTTACAACTCATTTTTTTTGTAAAAATTTAATGAAATAACCAATAGATTTTTCAGGTTAAGACTTTAAAATGCGTAAATTAATATTGTTCGTTACGTAAACTGTAGATATCGTAAGTAAAATAGTTCACTTGAAACACAAAATACGTTAAAAATAAACTTTATCCGTCAGTATACTTGTAATACAGTTTATATGTTGGTATTGTAACAACACTTTTTTTTCATGTTGCATCTGTTTATTTTCAGAATCAGTACGACAGGAACAAGTTCAGTACCGCCTGTACCGTCATCTCTGTACACCAACTTACCACTAGTGGAATCGGCTACTACTCCTCCATATTATCCACCAGCATCTGACATGTTAGCTTTGCCTTCAAATCATGTCAACCCTTATCCAAGTAAGTCATTTTTTCTGGTATCACGTTTTGGACTTGGTCTTACAAATATTATGCATTTATTTCTCAAAGAAAATAAGATAAAACTTAATTGTATTAAACTTTGCTGTTGTGACTTTCTTCATTTAAAGTCTATTTAAATATGAAATACTATTATTAAATCTGTTTGTAAATTTTCTTATCTTAGTCATTATCATTGCAGTATATTGACTCAAAATATATTTTTATTCTGCCTCTACTGAGCGATTATAAAAAAATTATTTATTTGAATTACAGACTTACCTGATCTATATACGATTCTGGGTGGCTCTGAAAGTGATCAACAGGTATTTAAAAATGTTAACTAAGACTGTAGAGAGTTTAAAGTGTAACAATGACTTTCACTGTAATTTAAAGATTTTTAATTGAAATCCTGTTTCTAGTATATTTGTAACATAAAATTTGAATATTTTCTTTTCTTTTTCCAAAGATTCATTTGATCTATAGATGGTGTTATGTTAAAATTAACTTTAGGTGTCATGTCTTCCAAGTACACAGATCAATTTTTATTTAATTAGTAGCATTTATTTTAGTCAAGTATAGTGATAAATAATTATGTTTCAGTTTTTATCACAAACAGAAGGAATGTTTTCATTTTTTGAAAGTTTAGTTATTACAGAAAGAAAACTTATTTTTGTATGTTAAGGTCATAGTTAGTTTATATTGTTACCTTGTAAATGTGTCTACCTTATTAAACTGTTAGTACTTAATGAGTAAAATACAATTAAAGCATGCTTATTTTGCCATACGCTTGTGTTTTTTGGCGTTTCTTAGTAAATACGTATTAAACCCTTTAACTGCTAGAATGGAAGAATGGTTGAATAATATTATTCAGGTACTCAAGAACAAAAGTTGTAAATTAGTCTTCTACTCATTGCTACCAAATTGTTCTCTGTACTTTGTGGCTGTGGGTGCATTATAAGAGTGATGGGGCCCGGCATGGCCAGGTGGTTAGGGCACTCGACTCGCAATCTGCAGGTCGCGGGTTCGAATCCCCGTCACACCAAACATGCTCGCCCTTTCAGCCGTGGGGGCGTTATAATGTGACGGTCAACTCTTGGACTATTCGTTGGTAAAAAGAATCATCGTAATTTTACTAACCTATGGTAAAAATTTTTGAGTTGCATTGACCTTGCTTAAGTTAAAAAAATAACTTTTAGGTTGAGATAAAAACAAATTTCATTGATACTCATTACATGTTTATAATTTCTATTTACAGTTTGATTCCCTGTTTCAACAGGTAAGTTTTAAATGGGGTTTGAAGCACACATTTTATACTTTGTAGTTTTCTAAACTTTTGTGGAGCTAACTTTATCAATAGTATATAAAAAATTGTTTTTATTTTTTTACATTTGTACTTTGGTGTTCGTATGTTTATATTTCAAACCTACGTAAGATAGCTCTCAAGTAGCTCTGAAGAAATTCAACAAAATTATACAAAACCAATTATATCATATTGAACAGTTGTTGGTTTAGAAAAACTACACACTAAGCCAAACTTTATGTATGAGTATCTAATCTGAATTAACAGCAAAGCAAAATATTAAGATATAAGTTATAGCTTCATATTTCATTGTTACCGTGTTTACACTTTTGAATGTAAGTTGGTTGACGTTTTAAGTAACTCTTTTTCTCCAACATTTGATTAGGAAACAGAAACTTGTAGCTATTGTTGTCAATAGAAGTTTTGTTTGGTTGTCTTATGGCCACATTAAGTCCTGTTGTCTTCTGCCTTTTAATCTTTTAACAACCATGTTTATAATTATAGTCCGTTCACGATTGAACAGAAATCAGTTTACGAAAAAATAGTAGGATAAAGCAGTAAAGAACTTTCTGAAGCAGGAAATATTGTTTTTTGCTTCTCAAGACTGGCCATAAAAAGAGTGTTCTCTAAAAATAATTTGAAATTAGCCAAACAGGAAAAATTGTAATAATTTTAATAGCAAAGATTTGTTATAAGTTTGTTAGTCATAAATTATTATAGGTTAGCGTAGAAAACTCTTGTAAGTTTGTATTCTGTATGTGAATGTATAAGTTTAGATTGATGTCATCTTAGTCCTTTTGTTTACGGATCAAGAAGAATGCACATAAAAAATCTTTACTTGATGTATTTACTTCTGGCTTTACCTACTTAAACACAATACTTTCCAAAGCTTGGCTGTTTAGCACATAGCAAGGCTTGAGAAGAAAAACCTTGGTTAATTGATAATAAAGAATAAACTGACACATCTCAATGAAAACTTTTTCCAGTTTATTTTATGCAACATTTCGAGCCGACTCCATTTGTCATTTAAATGTGTTAATTTATTATTTATTTTCATTTATCCAAGACATAGGTTTGGCTTGGTAGAGCAAGAAGATAAAAAACTCTAACCTATATAAAAAGCTAGTTTGTGTCATATCCCACTTGATTTCTCCAAATAGAAGTTATAAAAGCTAAATGCAATTATCTAGATAGAATAGTTCGATTACTGTCTGTCCATTACAATTTTAGTGATGGGGATGCAAGGGTGCCATGAAACGTTATTAGTGTAGTGAGTGTTGGTATAATAAGCCTAAAGTAAAGACATAGTATGGGATCACCTAGCCTTGAGCCAAACGTATAAGATTTATCATGAAAGTAAAAATATCGATTCAATTTTAAACTTGAATTGTTTCTGTTATATCACCAACGTTTTTAATAAAAAACAAACCTCTTTAATCAATGGAGGTTCTAAATTAAGAAACCAACAAATATTTTTCCAGTTTGTTGTTTATACATTTAATTTTATACTTTCAGTACATAGACTAACAACAATATTAGGTTATACTTTTGTTGCTAAGCAATATGACATAAAAGCCATTGTTGGAAGGTAGTGTTACCAAAATGCACTGGCTTTTCTATATATTAGAAGTTGTTAATGTAACTGATTTTTACCAATAATTCTATGAATTAGTATAAAGCCTGTTAAAAATCATGGGGCAAGTACTACCACCCCCACCCCATAGTATTCCCTAACCTCACATTTCGTAGCTAACTGAAATAAATAAATTTTTGAAATGAAGTTTGACCAACAAAGGGGAGAAAAGTTCAGTTGAGGCAGTCTTAATTTTGATTGGCTCACAAAGGAATTTACTGACATTTGACTGCACTTTTCTGCCTCTTTGTTAGTCAAGCTACATTTTGCAAAATTACATTTTTGATGGGCTATACGTTAGTTGATAAATATATCGAGGGTTTAGAAAAGTTTAAGGTGTTTTATAGAGGACTAACTGCTTGTTAAAATTAAATTTTTTGTTTGATGTATTTCTCATGTCACACAAAATCATAATGTCTTTGACCTGGGTTTATTTAAAAACTTAAAATGTTAGATCATTTACAGTACATTTTAATAATATGTTGTTAACAAAAACATTGTTAGATTCACAGACTGCATGTTGTAACATCATTAGATTCACAGACTGCACGTTATAACATTGTTAGATTCACAGACTAAACGTTGTAGTTCTTAAGAACTAGATAACAAAAACATCATTAGATTCACAGACTGCACGTTATAACATTGTTAGATTCAGACTAAACGTTGTAGTTCTTAAGAACTAGATAACAAAAACATTGTTAGATTCATAGACTGCATGTTGTAACATCATTAGATTCACAGACTGCACGTTATAACATTGTTAGATTCACAGACTAAACGTTGTAGTTCTTAAGAACTAGATAACAAAAACATCATTAGATTCACAGACTGCACGTTATAACATTGTTAGATTCACAGACTAAACGTTGTAGTTCTTAAGAACTAGATAACAAAAACATCGTTAGATTCACAGACTGCATGTTGTAACATCATTAGATTCACAGACTGCACGTTATAACATTTTTAGATTCACAGACTAAACGTTGTAGTTCTTAAGAACTAGAATTTTGAAACTTGCTATGAAGAAATATTTGAAAACAAACTTTTTTTAGTGAAGTTACTAAGAAGAAACTAATGAGAGATTCTGTATTCTGTTTTTTTAAACTGGTGTTTTCGTGAATTGGTTTTGAATACTTAAAAATCTAGCAATTCTCTAAAGAATGTTTTACAGAATAATTTGTACTTTTTTTTTTTTGAGGTTTTAAATCAGTAAATTGTGTGTAGCATCTAATCACTTAGGTACAAAAAAAAAACACCAAGCAACTTAAAATGTTTATAAACTGTATTTGGATGTTTTAGTTTATTCTTTATTATACCGTATCACTATTTTAAAAATATAATTGTAAAAGAAAATGAATGCCATTTTTGTTTGTGATTTAAAAAAGATATTATATATATATAATATTTGGTAATTTCTTCTTGTTCTTTTAGGTCCCCTGTTCTTCTTCTACTGTCGGAAGTAGGCCCAATATTACCCCTCCAGATATCATTTCCCTAGACTGACAGTTTCTGGACAAAGGTTTTCACTGATATATCCCGGAGAGTGAAATACTTGTACAGAAAATAGCTTTTCTTTTGCTGCTCAGTATTCTTGTTATTAATCAGTTACGGAAAAAAAAAGAAGCATCAGTAAATATAGTGGACAAATCACACGAACCATACTGAAGTTATTTAGAAAACTCATATCATCATATGAATCACAATTTAACCACGTACCATATAAAGTGTTTAGTAAACTGATATTTGTGTACCTCTGCCTACCATGTAACTTAATTTATTCAGTAAACTGTTATATATCAACATCATCCATAAAATATTCTTGTATATAAAAGGTTAATACATATTTTCTAATATATAAATTTTGGCCTTCCTGTGATGGTTGTCACTCGGACGTATAAAGTCTTGTTATTCAAATGTGACAGGAACAATTTCCTTGTGCTCCTGTGAAATGTTATATTTCATTTATTTTCTCGATCATGATATTTTGTATGTTTTCATAAATATTAGACAACGTAATGTGTTGTTATTAGGTAAAAGGGTACAAAATTGTATTAGAAAATCAGAACAGAGGGAAGTTAAAAGGCAATAATTCATATTTCATCCCTACAGTTTTGAGTAAATAAGATTTATTTTTGAATTACTTAAAAGCTGAATTTATACAGAAAACAATTTTAAGTTAATAATTGTAACCATTATGATAAATCATAGAATTTTAAACTGTAATACAGTACAAATAATTCTTTGTAATTAAGTAAAAACAATTAGTAGTGTTAATGTTCATCATATGCTCTGTAGAGAGCTGTATTGGCTCAAAGTTGTCTTATAAATGAAGACTTGTATTCTAACTAAAGAAATCAAAATTTAAAATTGTTTTAAAGAAGCTACACTTGTTATTATTTTAGCATATCATAATGATCGTATCATTCGAGTGATTTCTGGTGTTTTACTCGTTACATTAACCCATTAACTGCGGATGACGGATGTAACTATAACTCTACGCGAATGACGATAATTACCGTTTTATTGTGATTGATGGTATCTCAGTTTTATCAGTGAGTCAGAAAATGGCAACTGAGCTGCTCCTGCAGCAGTTAATGGGTTAATTAGTTTACTAGTATACAGCCATAGCCTAGCTCGAGGGCCTCTAAAATTATGCCATTAACCCTATCATTACCAGGTATTGAGTGCACATCTGTCTATCGGATTTAATAACTTAAATAAAAATTTTAACTGTTTAAACAATTTTTCATCGAATATTTTAGAATTGATATCTTGGCATTTGCGTAATGTAATTTGGAAAGAAAAAAAAGTTTAATCTTTCCTAACTGAATATCTCCGAGGTTGTAAACAACACACTTATTGATGTTTTTAGAATTTTTTCTGCCTAAGTTTATATTCACCAAGAAAATATCATCTGTTGAGAATATAATCTTTGATGTCTTTTTTCTTCTCGGGGGATTTGTAAAAGAAATTTTGCTCTGGTGCCTGTGATGTGTTATGTATGTCACTTCTTACTGTGAGCATGTACTGATTCCATAGTTGTCGATCATGTATCGTCAACTGAAGGAAAGATCGTAAGAAGATTCTTGGTTTGGCAGTTTTTAAACAGAATTAAGACCAATTACTACTGTCAAAATGTACATCTTAACTACTAGAAGGCTTACTGGGTTGTATGCCCAGGTATTCAGTATATTATTTATACTGAGGTAAAAGGAAATCAGTTTGTTATTGAAACGAATCTGCTTTCAACTGTAAGCAGGAGTATTGTCCTAGGTAGAGTTTTAGCATTGGTTTCATTTGGATATTCGTATATAAAGTTGAGCTAGAAATGAACACTATTATATCTATTTCCTTCAGGCTAACAGAATTTAAATGTACTAGAACTGGAAGTTCCAGAATCACTGAACTTCTAATTTGAATAATTATATATTCGTTTTTATAATGTAAGGTACTTTTTCGTTGTGTTGATGAACAAACTACATAATTTTTAAATCTTGTTTTAGTCTTTAGAAAGATTATTTTCAACAGTTTAAAATTTATTCTGTGTAGGTTTATACTTAGTTTTATTGAAAAATCAGTTTTTGCATTTTTACATTACTGTATTTATCTCACAGTGTTTAGTGTGGAAACATTACATTGAATGTAAATATCTATTTTTGTCCAGGATGTATCTAACATCTCATATTTATCCAAGAATTCTAATAAAAAGTTTGAATTATGAACCATAATAAAAAACCAACTTCAGCATTCAGCACCATCAATAGTTTATTTTATGTTTGTGTATTTGGGAATAACTTATCTTAAGAATAACATTCAAAAGTATGTGTATTGTTAATTCTGTTGGTGTCATTGAAATATTATTATCGCAAACTTTGATTTAACAAGCATGTTGGTAATGGAAAGTTTAATATTGATTTGCAAGTTGATGAAAGCTACTTTATTTTGTACTTAGAGAAATATTTGTGGTAAACATGCAAGATCAAAGCTAGTTTTAAAAACATTTAAAGTTGCTTTAAAGAAAGAAACTTTCTAATAATGGTTGGAGACGACTTGAATGGGTAATGAAGAAAAACTTTAATATAAGTTTAACATAACAGCAAATGTACAACGTTTCGTCAAGTTTTTGTCATCGGGTACCTTGTCGAAACATTGTACATTTGCTGTTATGTTAAACTTATATTAAAGT